ATGCAGATCACGAGCCAAAGAAACACTGAAAAGGAAAAACAAAAAATACAAAAACTGCAACAAAATAACAGAGCCAACTACACCAACACTATAGTATTCTTATTGGGATGGTGTTAATGGTCTACGCCCTATGCCCCAAGACAACCCAGAAATGTGGTGAGTAGATATAAAAAGAAGTAGAAGAAGCAAGAAATGAAGAAAAAAAAAACAACGAAATGAGAAAAAATATAACCTAAACAAAGTAAAAGGAAAAAGTCCTAACAGGATTAGTTCTGTTTAGAAACGGTCATATTTGTGTCAGCACAAACAAAAGTTTGGTACGAGGACGTCGATCTTGTATTTCAACCCCTCTTTTGGAAGCACACACAAATACATCGACATAAGTACATAGAAATGTTTCGAAACGTTCTTGAAGAAACATACCCGCAAACGGATCAGCTTAAAGGAAACGTAAAAAAGATGAATCGACTGAAATGGGGTGGTCTTAAGAAATAGAAGAGCTGAAATTACAATTTGTTAAGGGAATGGCTAATTTATTAAAAAGTCGTTTAATTGTCAATAAGGAAAATACGGAAAATCCGCTGGCATGTTTCAAATTTTTGTAAATTATATGCCATAACCATATTCTCTGCCAATGTTGAATATGTCAATGTTCAACTGTACAGGGTGAGATAAAAAAAGTCAAACGCCATAGTTTTTACATTTTTTTTTTTTTTTGAAATTTCATTGAATGAAAGCAAAAAATGTCGGAAATAGAATCAAATTTTAGAATAAGTTTAGATTTGTTCGAATTGGTCACCTTTGGCACGAATTATTTCCTTCAAACGGCCAATGAAACCGTCACACGCTGTTACTCTGCGGCCCATTCCCGGCGAAGCGGTATTTTTTAGTGCCAACCTTGCTTTCCAAAATACTCCAGACAAAATAGTCCTACGGATTGGTATCCGGAGATTTTGGTGGCAATTGTGCGCTGGAATTGAAGCGAGGGGCCTTATTTTGTAACCATTCTTGGGTGGCGCGTGCTGAGTGCGATGGTGCTGAGCCCTGTTGGAATGTCCAAGGTCTTTGGCCAAAATGTTTGCGTGCCCAAGGCTTGAATACACCCCCCAGAATTTTTTCGCGATAATATTCGGCATTTATTCTGATGAGATGAGGGCTGTTATGGTGGCCTCTTTGACAAGTAAACACCATCATTTTGTTTGTTTACAAACTGCTGGACAACGAATGTTTTCTTATCGGAGAAAACCAAATTCGGCAGTTCACCACTTTCGGCCAAGCGAAGCAACTCTTCAGCTCTTTTGAGTCTATTTTCATTCTTTTGCGGTGTCATTTCATGCACTTTTTGGAATTTCAATGGCTTTACCCCGATCTCATTTTTCATCATTTTTCGATCAAGTCGCTTCTTTACTTTTCGAACCAGTTCTGATGATGTTGCTGTTTTCTTCTGTCCACTTCCTTGACGTCAGGCTACGCTACCACTATCACGGTAACGAGCGATGGCACGAGACACAAGAGATTTTTTCACATTTAAATGCTGGAGTGCTCTAACGATAGCCACTTGTGGTTTTCCAGCCAAATATAAAGAAATCACATTATCACGCTTGAATTCCATCACGAATAACTTTTTTTCTGAAAATTATCACCAAAATATTGTACCTTGTAAACAATATAATGAGCTGTTATTGAAATAATTTTAACAGCTATCGGACGATTGGCATAGAAATGACTGCAGTCTGAAGTTGGTTGCAGTTTTTTTGATCTCACCCTGTAGATGTCTCCAGATTTCTTTAAGATATACACTTCATCTTAACTTCAAATTAAGTCAAGCCTGTGAAAATTTCATTAATTGCATAACACCTGAGTATGTTACGAACTTTGACATGGATGAAGTGGGTACGACAAGTTGGAATTTATGACCTGGTGGCAAACCTCAATTCGTTCTGTTTATTTTAACAGATGATAACAGATTTATTCAGGTTGGTACTTTTTCACTGATGGGAGAAAATTATATACCTGTAGTCAGGCAAACGGGAAACATGGTATTGACTCATCTCATTTTTTGGCCTACTTTTTGAATTTTAAATTTTATGGCCTCCTTTTTAAATTTGAAATTGGTGTGTTGCTATGAATAATATGAAAATTGTATTGTTTTAACGGTGTTTAAACCTTGAACTTCCATTTATTATTCGCGTTTTTTGTTTATTTATAAACAAATGTAAATAAACAAAACAAACTTGTTGAAAATTTATTTATGGTAATTATGACGCACATTCAGAGACCAATAAGCAGACATTACACGATGGTAAGAAAAAGAAATATTTGGCAATTATTTTATCTGTTCAGGCAAAGTCTAATATAGTCCATTTAAAAATTATTATGGTGTCACTAACTTATTTTTGACTTTTTACTGCACTATTATTCTTCTCTTTCTTTTTCAAAAACGTCAACTCTAAATCGTCAACTCATGATTTTAATATATGTATGGATAAAATGGATAGTAACAATGCTCGCGAGCTTGGGTTATAAATTCTGTATCAGTACGTTTACATATATATGGGTTAAACCACTGGATTTGGATTAACATTGTCATATACATTACTTATACTTCAAATAAATCCTATCAAAGTGGGTTATCCCTACAAAAAGTTCTAACATAAACATGGCATATGACAGAGATTCAAAATCGGCTACACGATTTAAGATTAAAAATTCGTCTACAAGTTAAAATTATCTTCAATTAAGAATTTCGCCAAAAATTCCCAAAAGTGGTCTTGGCTTTTAAATGTGCACCTAGGATGGATTCGTAACCATTCCTAAGGGGCACTCAATGGAGAAATTTGTAAACAATGCACTTCTAGTTGCATCTGCCTGTGCCCAAATGACCAGTATGCATCACCTTAATGAGGAGATAAGTATACTGTCATTCGAATAGCATAAAGTATTGTTAACTAGGCTGGCGAGCAATCTGCCCTGTTATACCAGCTATCACAGAGTGATGGACACGACCGTCATTCGGATAACATAAAGTATTGTTAACTAGGCTGTTCCTGCTGGCGATCTTTCTGCCCTGTTATCCCAGCTATCACAAGGTGATGGAAGATCCACCTCCACGACACAACCGTCAGATGCTATCGTAAAGGCACCATAAATATTATTCATATCGGACGTCAAAAGGTTAATAGCGAATCATATTAAAAAAATTAATTATCAATGGGCGTTCTCAGAAGCCCATTTATTATACATGCAATGAAATCCTAGATCAATATCCTCCTGCAATATCGGAGCTGCAACTTTCTTTCTGCTTTAGTCCAACTTCGGTGGGGTATAGTAATATCCTCAATTCTTACAGGGAACGATTTCGATTTCTTTTGAACTCATGCTGGGTTGTTACGGTTTAGTAATATCTAATATCTAAAGGCTATCGCCTGTGGACAGACTCTAAACTGAACGAATAATGAAAAATTCGGTAAAAAATATTTTAATTCTGCACAAAGTTGGACTGCCGTTGACACAGATTTTAAATTTTTACCTAAAAAAGCTTTGGTAATCAAATTAAACTTTAATTTGGACAAGAAGTGCCGAAACTATAGAGTTCCATAAAGGCATCAGTAAATATAAACTTCCATGGTCACAAATTCGTACATTTTTGAGTGATCTGATATATTGGACATTCATTCCGAATTCCATATCCTTCCCAGAGCATATACTATCCCTTGCTATATGCAGATATATTATGCCTTCTGTATATTAGAAATTGTTCTTATTAGTAATGCTACTTCCATCTGAACTGAAGAAGAAACATCCAATACGTTTAGCTGTACTTGTCAACAAAGATTCTCAACTTACCTCTGTGGAATGCGTTATTTTGCTTATGGTTTTTTTGGTGGCCTTTTAATGCTTGTTTTTGCTTGAACTTATCAATAAATTTTGTTTTGCTGCGGTTGCTGTTTTTCTAAAAACTCAGGGTTTACGTCATAGATACCAAAATAAAATAACATCAAGAACCAAACATTGAACATTCCACTTACTCAAACCGGTCGGGTTGATCGGTAGAAGTCCCCGATTGTTTGTTAGTATGCGGCGATGCGACGAAAAAGGCAGTTATAATCTTATGGGGAATATTATTTGCAAAGGCCAGCAACAGAGGGGGATGATGGCAGTAAGATAAAGCCTTTTAGCCTAGGTTCGTTCGTTTAACAAATTGAAATTTAACAGTCAAATTATGTTGTTCCTTCTTTTGAGTTATTTGACTTTGAATTTTTTTGTTTGCATAACCAAAATACTGTGAGTGTTTTTTTTTTTTCTTATTTCCTTCAATGAGCCCTCTCTTCTGCTCCTTCGTTTTATATTTTGTTTCTCACACTCTCTGATGGAATGATAACGATTCTCGTGGATGTTTTATGGTTTTATGACACAAGTCATAAGCTTGTCTTGAATTCTTCTGCACCACACAAGAGAAAAATGAACACAACAAAACCAATGACAACATCAAATCCAAATCTGTGTTGTTATTACCGATGTTGCCTCCTTACTCTGTAGTAGTGGTAGATTTGATGCTTATGATGGTATTTGCCACAGCTTACACAAGGTATTTAAGCAACACAAAATTAAGAAAAAGAAAAATTATTGGAAAGAAAAAGTCAGTCAAAATGATGACTGTTGGTCGCGCTCTCTACACACTCAGCGAACACACTCAATCAGCCAGCCAGCCATTAAAAAAAAAAGACACCAACACTCGTTGTATTTGGCACAAGCAGCCTGTTTTTTTGTTTTATGTGTGAACAAAAACAAACAAAATTAAACAAACTTGATTCTACAACCAAGCTTCCATATAATTTAACAAAAAAAAAAAATGCGCTGTTTCAAGCGTTTCCAATATTTTTTTGGTTTCTTATCGAATAATTTATCAGCCAATGACACTTTTTTATTTTATTTCTTTGCAATTTTTTCGTTTTTTTTTTCTCCAACAACACCACACTCACACACACTTTCTTGCTTACTTTGTATATTTGCTGCTATATTTTATTGAACATATAACCCACTTGTTGATTTTGGGTTTTCTTGTTTTATTCTTATTCTATTGATTTTAATAAACAAAGTATTATATTTGTTTTCAAACAATCACTATTTTCAATACCTCGTTTACATTCGTTTTTTATAACTTTTTTCTTGCTACGTCTCGTCGTTGCGTTTTACTTTACTAAAAAAATGTGAGATTTTCAGATCTTTTGCGACAAAACTTTCCGTCGTGCTGCTTTGCGTGTATTTCTAGTATTTCTGTTATTTCGTTCAAATGTCAACACAGAGTTCATTCACAATTATCGCTGAGTGATCTAATTCCCCTCGATCATTCACAATGTTAACTGTGAATTATGGATTTTCACCACAATGACCACCATCAATTAATGGATAACGTGACGTAGCCCATGTAAATGGTTATTTGTACATTTCGGAGATATTTTATAATCTGCGCCTTTATACCATCGTTTACATACGAAAGTTATAAGCAGCCAGATATCTAATCTAATTTAAAAAATTTGTCATGTTTACATATCCGTTTGCCATCATGATAAAGTGCTCAAACGTGATGTGTAACTGTAGGTGTATCTGGTTACCCTACTTGTAACAATTGTTGCATATTGTTACTGGCTGTTGACTATTAACACAAAAGTTCTGCAAAAGATAGCGGTTCGAAATAGAAATTTTGACAGCTGTTTTACTGAGAGTTTCCAAATTTTTTCTAGACAAATTCCTTCTTGCAATCACTTGCAACTCTTCTTCTACCGGTTATTTATATTTGGGCAGAACAATTTAAAACATGTTTATTTTTGAAATCACAAGTCTAATTGTATTGTTTTTCGACTAATTTTTAATTTTTGCTAGATTTATTTATTTTTATAGCAGACGAATTGTTTTTTGCAAGTTTATGCAGGAACATTCCGTCAGCTTACTTTTCAGAGTTTTCTTGCAAAAAAGAATAAAATTACCTTACTCTCTCAGAAAGAAGTTGCTGAAGAATTTCTGCAGGAAAAGTATTTACATCAAAACTGTCAATTCTGTTATGACTTACCTTCGTTAATCACGAAATTTAGAGGCGTGAATGGAGAGTGCATTTCTATGTCAGGATTGAAGGATTTACCATTATTAATCTTAATCTATTATGATTTGACGAGTCTCACATCTAAATAATTAGAATAAATAACTTTTTGTAAAAAGGGAGTAAAAACTCATACCCTGAGAAATATAAGCATGGAACAATTTCCCGACTTGGGATGTGTATCAAATAAATTTCAAACATTTTTCCATTTCTCTCAATCATTATTTTTTATTTCTTACAGCATTAATTCTCATCAATTTTTGTTAAAATCTCACAGCCATCATCGGTAACCAAAATTGTGTGTTCGAATTGTGCACTCCTTGCACCATCCACACTCATAGCCGTCCAACCATCTTCTTGGATTTCAATATCAGGTCCACCCAACGTCAATATGGGTTCAATTGTAAATGTCATGCCAGTCTGCATGGTGCCGGGCACATTATTTTTGAAATGAAGTATTTCTGGTGGACCATGAAAATAACTGCCAATGCCATGACCAATAAATGCAGGAATTGTATTGAGTCCCGTTTGTTTGCAGAATTTTGCTATAAAATTTCCTATGGCTTTGAATTCGACCTGTGGCCGACACAATTGAATGCATTCATGTAAACATTCTTCGGTTTTTTCCACCAAATAGCGGCCTCTCTCGTCGACATCGCCAACCATAAAGGTTTTCGAACAATCTCCATGATAACCGTTGAGGAAAACCGTAATATCCACATTTATAATATCGCCATCATGCAGGGGACGATCGTCTGGTATGCCATGACAGGCAACATTATTTACCGAAGTGCAGGTTGATTTTGGAAAGCTGGCATAGCGCAGTGGTGAGGGATATGCATTCGCTGCGATGATACTATTATGAACAAATTCGTCAATTTCATCGGTAGTGACACCAACTTTAATAATATCCGTACAAGACTTCAGTACCTGGGCTGCTAACTTGCAACTGTTACGCATACATTCAATTTGCTGTTGATTCTTAATTTCCGGCTCGCCCAATGTAAAGCCGGGCGGCATTGGTTTATAGTAATAATCTGGCTTCACTATGTGCTCCGGCACCTCCCTCTCTTCGGAGACATTACCAATTTCCACTGTGTTGCAGGTGCCAAAATTTGGTTTGTTCTTACTGAAACGTTGCATAAAATGCCTTACGGAATACTGAAGCACTTTGTTTCTCATTTCTTTTTTTATTAAAAGAATCAAAAATCCCCAAGAAATCTATCTTCTTACGTGAACGTTGACTGGCCATTCACAATGGTTTGGTGTATTGGTGTAAAAGGAATTGTCGATAAAGATCAAGAAACAAAACAAAATCTACAAAATCTCCAAACACACCAAAGGGTAATAGGGGTTTTTAGATCGACAAAACTACAGGGGTTTGGAAATCGCAAATAGCCACATTTTTGAAGTAACAGCGGTTTCATAACCATTCACAATAAGTAATTAATTAGAAATAGCAGTTATAGTGCGTTTACAGTGTTGTAGGTTAATGTCATGGTAGAAGAATACAGGAACATATCGACACAGCTGCTGGGACAATGAAAGGTCAAACCGATTTTGGAGTTGAAAATCTTGAATGAAAAATCATTGAAATTTGTAAAAATTGTTGAAAAATACATATCATTACAACCTCCGATTTCCGTCGTATACGAAAAGATGTAAAAATCTACTTATTTTTGACAAAACATTTTAAAAATTTTTGACATATCAATTCTACCATGGTGTGTTCTATAGATCTGGTGTGTTTACATAGACCCATGGTAGAAGAATACAGGTAGATGCATCCATGAACAGATTGATTACTTTTGACAAAAAAAATCCGTAGTTTTTGTTCTATTGTGATTTCGTTTTCATTGAATTTCAAATCACAAAAATGTTTTTGACCGCACACTTGGTAATCAGATAGGTTTACTGGCCGAACGTATATGGGTTTTGGTTTGAAATTCAAATGGAGTGAAACCACAATAGAGCACAAACTATGTCAAATGTAGCCTTCTTGCCTGATCTTATTTAGGCCTTGAATCGGTGGTTCTTTCAGCTCGTCTTTAAAGATTAAGTTCGTCTATAAAGACTTTCTTTCCACATAGAATATAAAGATTCCCTCTCAGATCGTCGATAAAGACTCAACTTGTCTATGAACACTCCTTTTCAGTCCGTCTACAAAGATCCCTCATCTTTTTAGAAGTATCCCCTGATATTCGACGATTTCTGCATTCCAATCATTGTTCATCTGCAAACTCTATACGTAAGTCTGTCATATAAACTCCCAATTAGCACTGGTGCCTACGTTGAACAAGAAAATTAACATATTTTTTTTTTTAAATTTATAGTCTTCTGAAATTAATTGTAAAATTATAATTGCAAAATATTTAGTGAAATAAGTTCAATGTATTTATTTACATAAGTATGTACGCATGGGATTTGTAAATGAATTTTCGATATGAATATTCATAAAAAAAATAAACTGAAATGTTATTCATTAAATACTGTAAATGTGATAGTAATGATTGAAGGCCCGCTTCTCTTTGGATATTTTTCTTTCATTTGACAGTGGGCATTGGTGTTGTTTTCATTAAAAGGAAGCTGTTTGAGATCATCATTTGCTACCTTAAATAATTTTTTTCTATTATTTTATGTAATGCTTAAAGCTTATTTGCTACTATAATCCTAATAAAGTTTAGACCATATTTTATGCGACCTTGGCTCTCTTGTAATTTTTTCGATGAGTTGGCATCGATAAACATACGATAGTCAGTGCCGAGATTCTTTCTCGATGGTTTACAACTGAGGATTTTCCAATTTGAGGTTTCAATGCCTTTGTTTTGTTTTTCAATTAACGTGAGAATGGCAGACGTTGGTGGCACCGGTGGTGGAATCCACATTCTGGCAAAAATGCGCGGTGGCAAGTTGGAATAAGGTATAATTTCTAAATGGTTATAGGGCCAATTTTGACAGACATTTGCAATGTTAGTTTTTAAGAATTCTAGCGATTGACTGTTGCCGCATTTAATAATTTTTATTCCTCTAGACCAGTTTGCACCCTCAAATGATATACCCCGTTCAGTCCATTTATTGGAGGTCATTTCTCTTATTAACATTTCCTCGAGATTATACCATTTTTCATCGCTGATTCTCCCCTGAGGATTAGATCTATCAACTATTGCAACCTGTAACTCTGAACTGGGACAAATACTGCTGAGTCTTCTGTGTTTAATTTTTGCGGCAAACGATGCACTTGTGGTGGGAGATCCATAGTCTGTTATTATCTCTGCTCGAGCACTGGGATGCACTTTTTCAAACAATTCCACTCTTTTTCTATGTTTGTTTATTAGTTTCTTTTCCCTTTTCGATAATTGACTAATATCTTTGCCATCATATTTACTTAGAATTGCTATGGATTTCCTATAGTTATCCTGCTGAACGCGTACTACATTTGTTACAACAGACGATGCGCTATCAGAAATTGTTATAGCATCATCATTGTTAATATTTTGTTGAATGGCATCGTCGTATATTGTTGATAAACTTGATGCTTTGGACATCGACGACTGTGGCATTGCATGTACAAAGAAGACATGATACTCCTGAAAATAATCACAAAATGTGTCTTCTGAAGCTGTGTTACTCATTAGAATGATTTTCAAGTCCGGCCGAAAGGGTAAAATCTACAAAGCAATGCAAAACAAAAATTCATAAAATCTTAAGACTACTTAACTATTTACATACATTTCTCAAATTATCCATTAATTGATTATACTCCGGACACTGATCTTGTATATCGTCCAATATAACGCATGTGAAAGTTTTCAATAACGGATCGTTTTTGAATCTTCCAATTAAGATTTGTGCAGTACAGTATAAAATGTAACCTGTTTCCCGTGGCATGTTGCTGAAATAGAATTAATATAAATTAAAAATTAGTCATACAGAAATTGTATATTGAAAGGTCCTCTAGTTACCAAAATGCAAAGTGGAATCAGTTTTATTTAGTATGTAGATATGTGGTAATGTGTAGACATTTATCAACTATATTTGGATCATAACGTAGTTCTCAGCGCACTGATTACGTTTTGATCATTTATAAAGACAAACTTTTAATGGCAAATCAAGGCTCACATTATATCATTTATTGAGACTCATATCTGATTGATTAAAGTATCTAGGGGACTGCTAAAATTCACTTTTCGTAATCTATAAAGGCTGGTATCTGGTCACATTTAAAGACTTCTCTTCAATTCTTCTATAGAGTTCTTTGAGCTTGTCCATCTCACGTATGAAGAGAGAAATGTAAGAAGCTTAAAAATGTGATATATTCTTATGTCATTTGAAACACTACTAACTCCCCCACATAATGATTGCAACACTTACATTTCACCAGCAACTTGTAAACCAATTGAATTTCCCAATGATTCCAGCCGTTCGTAGGCTACATGCTCTGCCGCTGATGAGGCATTTGGCCTATCCGTTTGAACACAAGCAATTCGACATTCACTGCCACAATTATTGAAAATAAAATCATCCAAAACCATTTGGGGTATTTGGGTGGTTTTACCGCACGATTGCCCGCCAACTAACAGCACGACTTGATGGCGTCGTATGGCTTTTAAAATCTCCCGGCAATGCTGGATAACTGGCAAGCGACGACGTAATTCGAAAATTTCTTGAAATTCTTCGCATTTATTCTTTTCCAGGAGTTCCGATTTTAAGATCCAATTGTTTAAATAGCCTTCGTCCATCACCTCTAACGATGAGGAACAAACACTTGTAGCGCGTTCGCTGCGATTGCCATCAAAATATCTTTGATTTGAATACGAACATGATGGCGGTGCCACAAAGTCTGGATATGGATTACGGTTCATAGTTTTCTAAATTCAAATATCAGTTCCAATAGAAATTAAATCGATCTGAAGTTTGACAAAAATGAAATGGTAAATGAATGTTTCAATTGCCACTTCGCCATTTTACCTTTGTTTTTGACCGAACAAATTTAAAAGCGTTCCAAACGATATAATTGAGGGAGTCAAGAGAAAAGATCCAAATGAAAAATAGGCACAAAACAAAATAACGAAAGATGTTTGTTTGTTTACGAATGAATGCGATGCATAACGGTAGAGAAAAACGGTGTTTGCGAATAAGAATGGAAGAAACGCAATCAGCTGTAGGGTCCTGACGTTTTTATAATTTATCGATAATTTATTAGTTTGCGCATTTACACTAGACAATTACCCTTAAATCAGGGTTGTATTTGACCAAAAATAAAAAAATAAAAACAAATAAAATCCATATAATTATCAACTACACCTTGGAAAGCATCATAAGTTTGCAATTTTATCAAAATTATATATTTGACAACATGTCATTTCCAAAATGTTTATTTAGAAATCCATTATATGTACCTGATGACATAAGACATCGGCTGGCATCTTTGGAAATGAACAAAGGATCATACGGCCAAAATCGAACTAAGTCAATCTAAAACTAAAAGAAGACACAAGTCAATGACTTATGACAGTCAAAAAGCTCTTTATGTACTTCCACCCATGGTACAATGAAGAGAAGGTAGGTCAACTTTGAAAAAATTGCATGTATAGAGGTCTACCTATTTGGCTTGTAATGTCAGAATTAGTATCAAAACAATGAAAAATCAAACAACTTGTTGCATTTATTTTGAATAAATAATTGAAAACCGCGAAAACTGAATGAAAGGTCAACACTTCTTTTCAAAACCAGGTTCTATATATCTCTAAAGGATTATTTCGCTACAAAAACTCTAGATTTTGTCTATGCATACAATGAAATAAACATTTTGAAAACATCCGAATTTGAATGTTTTCTGAACAATTTTTTTGTTATTGAAAAGAAAACACATACATAAACAAATTAAGATGACATATTAAGCCAAGAAAATAAAAAAATTGAAATCATATGGTATCATAGCCCTACCTTGATATCATTGTACCATGCTTCCACCTTAAGCCAGTCAAATAAGCATTATAGGTGAGAATACCCTAAATACCCTTGGCATCATGGATAGACAAATTAATGTCAAATTATAAAGGGAAGCGACGGCAGAATTTGAGTGCGGCTCTGGCATCCCTTTATCATATGTCACAAAGTATGCCGTGCGAAGACTTCAAGCTGTTTATGTACTCTCACCTTAAGCGCTTTATGTATTCTCATCTTAAATGTTAGCTTTTTGTTGCTTATATAAAATAAACTTGGCAACCCTATTGATTATTTCGTTTACATAGCCATTCGTAAACAATTTAAATTCCTTTCTTACCTGGCGGACGCACGTTTCAATATTTATCCCGGATAATAGGAAAATGAATCGAAATCGGTTTCGCGGTCGTCGAGGTGGTGGTGGTGACGGCGATTATGGTGCAGGCCATAGTGGGCATGGAGGAGGCCGTGGTCGTGGAGGTGGTAGACCACCTGGTCTAAGTGGTCGAGAAATCGGAATGTATTATCGCAATCTTGGCATGAAAAAGAGAGATGAGGAGCAACGAACAGGCGGTATACGACTTAATCCCTCCGTAGATATTCCACCCGGAGTTCTCAGTCAGGTTCATAAATTCTTGGAAGCATTTGAACAACAAAATCAGGATGAGCAGGTTTGTCATGAGTTCCGAGAACATTTTCATAACCTGCTACATGTTAGCTTCGAAGAGTTTTTGGAAAAGGCCAAAGAGAACTTTGACTCGAAACCAAATCCAAATGAAGAACATAGTGAACGTCTGAAATTGGAGTTGGAAAGAAAAAATGAAAATGAAGAATATCTGAAAAAGTTGAAAATGCGCCAAAAATTACCTACCATGCAGCAGTCTGAGAATATTTTGAAGTCGATAAGAGAAAACCAAGTTGTATTGGTAGTGGGCAGTACGGGCTGTGGCAAAACAACGCAAATACCACAATTGATATTGGATGAAATGATTGCGGCCAATAAGGGCAATACATGTCGCATTGTATGCACCCAACCGAGAAGAATATCGGCAATATCAGTTGCCGAGCGAGTGGCTTATGAACGGCATGAATCGCTAGGCAGTTCTGTGGGCTATCAAATTCGATTGGAAAGGTGGGTATTTTACTGGAAACAGCTGGAAAGTAAAAGGATGGAATTTGTTTGTTTTAAGGTCCAATACCTTAGAAGATCCATTTTTTATTTATCAGTCCTCTGTAAAGTCATCCAAACTTTAACTAAAAAAATCTTCCATTCCTAATGTTCGCATAACTTTCTAATTGCCTCTTTTCTAGTCGCATGCCTCGAGACAATGGATCCATTTTATATTGCACCACCGGCATTTTGTTGCAGAAAATGCAAACAGACCCGCTGATGAGTGAATTGACCACAATAATATTGGACGAAATACACGAACGCAGTGTGGAAACGGATCTGCTGATGGGTCTTTTGAAAATTGTGAGTTTGAGAAATACATAAACTTCCCAGACTTTACTTTTTTTAAATTATTTCTTCATTACAGATACTCCCCTATCGTCCCGATTTAAAAGTGATATTAATGAGTGCCACCGTATCGGAGGAAACATTTTGCGAATATTTCAATAATTGTCACACTTTGTATATACATGGTACCTTATTTCCAGTAGAAGTTCTATATTTAGAGGATATATTACAAGAGACTGGTTATACAAATTTTCAAAATGATTGCCTAGCATCGGGAAAACCCCAAAGGGGTCACAATCCGCGGCGCAAGCATGAGAAACAAGTGTCGGAAAAGAATTTTCAATATACCCACATGATCGATTCGTATGTATCTGCAATGAAGGATAAATACGATAGACAAGTTATTGATACCTTGCGGCGATATTCCGATTCCGAGGGCTGTGCAAATTTGAATTTCTTAGAATTTTTAATATTTTATATTTGTGAACATAAACCGCCGGGAGCGATTTTAGTTTTTCTGCCGGGTTATGAACGGATCTCAAAGTTAAATGATCAACTACAGAGGCCCTCTAATCCGAGACATCAGCATTTGGCAGAGAAAATCCAAATATATCCTTTGCATTCGATGATGCCCACAGTGAATCAAAGAAACGTCTTTGAACCCGCGGCACCGGGTATGCGTAAGGTAATTTTATCCACCATTTTGGCCGAAACTTCAGTGACCATTGATGATGTGGTCTATGTTATAAATACAGGAAGAACCAAAGTCAATGACTATGATATAGAACAAAATATACAAACGTTACAAGAAGACTGGGTTAGCGTGGCAAATTCCAAACAACGCAAGGGTCGTGCTGGTCGTGTGCAGCCCGGTGTTTGTTATAATTTATTTACAAGGTAAAATTTTGGCAACCTTTCCTAGATAGATTTTTCAAAATAATATTTTTCTACAGAGTTAGAGAAAGGTCAATGTCTGAGATACCTGTACCGGAGATATTACGTACCAAATTAGAGTCCATAATATTGAATTTGAAACTGCTGCATATCAAAGAACCTTATGATTTTCTAAAAACATTGATAAATGTCCCCGACATTAGAGCCATAAATCATGGTCTCAAACTTTTGAAATGGTAAATTTAATATTATTTCCTATTACTAGATTTTTAAATACCAATTCAATGTTTTATTTCCATAAATTATTCCAGCATAGATGCCCTAGACAATGAATGTAATCTAACGCCCTTGGGTTTACATTTAGCCCGTTTACCCATCGATCCACAAATGGGGAAAATGATTTTAATGGCTGCCCTATTTCGTTGTTTGGATCCCATAACATCGGCAGCCGCAGGTATTTCATTCAAAAGTCCCTTCTACACACCCTTGGGTTTGGAGAAAAAGGTTGATAACATAAAACGTGATTTGGCACAAAATACCAAAAGTGATCACCTGTTAATTCACAATGTCATAAAAAGTTATCGCACAGCTTGTGATCAGGGGAGAGATATGAATTTTTGCTACAACAACTTCTTAAGTAAATCGACGGTATCACAAATTGAAAATATGAAAAAGCAATTTGCAGAAATTTTAAGGAATTCAAGGTGAAATTAAGCTATTTTGCAATTTTGATATTGATAATTTAAAACTTTTCCAAATAGTTTCTTAGAATTTGCCGATTGTTGTGCCAGAATTTCCAACACTAATTCGGATAATGTTCCCCTGCTAAGGGCCATAATTGCCTCGGGGCTTTATCCTAATTTGGCATTTTTAAGGTGAAAGAAAAATCGTTGTTTTTAAGCACCAATATTAAATTACTATCTTTGTCATTTAGAAAAGTAAAACGTGTTGGTCGCCATGTCCATGCCATACATAGTATGTCAACGCCTGTAGATCGTAAGGTCAACTTCCATCCATCTTCGGTAAATAGTGGAGAGGGTTCTTTCGATGCCAAGTAAGTGGAAATCCTTTTCTTCTAAAATCTGGACTAAAAAAAAATTCCTCATTTCTGTTTCCATTTCTTTAGCTATTTTGTTTATTTTCAAAAGCAAAAAACATCTAAAGTTTATCTTTTAGATGCCACCATGGTGTTTCCCATGGCCTTGCTGATATTTGGCGATGGTGTAAAACAAGGAGAGTTATCGCCTCATGAACCTTACATTAGTGTGGCGGATATATATTTGTAAGTCATTAACAACAAAAGTATATAAAATTTTCCTTTACTTAAATTCCTTAAATTTCTAGCTTCAAATGCGATAGAGAATCTTCTAATGTGATTTTAAAACTCCGACAACTTCTTGGTGTGCTGCTCAGAAAAAAGGCTATGCATCCCTCACCCATTGAACCCAATAGCAGTGATGAACAATTAATAAGGTATGGTCAAAGAAATGTTTTACAGAATGTCCCAAAATTAAAAGTAGGTTAAAAATGGGATTTTAATTTGGGGACAATCTTCAGAAGTCAGTTTGCTCTGATAAATGATATTTTATAAAGGACCTTAAAATTGTCATTCTACAGGCCTTCTTCCTATAGAAAACTGTTATGTGGTATTTCTAACTTATTGTAATTACAAATAAATGTTCTGTCTACAGGGTGAGATGAAAAAACTGCAACCAACTTCAAACTGCTGTCATGTCTCAGCCACTTGTACGACAGCTGTTAAAAAAATTATTTCAGTGACAGCTCATTATATTGTTTACAAG